GATCTTTATACGCTATGTTATGAAAAGTATGCGATTTTAAAATGAAAATTTTGTTTGAAAATTTACGGTGTTACAACTGGATAGACTGCATACCCGGTTAGGGCATACTAGTCAGGTTGAAGGCCCGACGAGCGGTCCAGATAGGCTGAAGGCCTTGAGAGGCGGTCCAGACATGCCGATGGCTCGGAGAGCGGTCCAGATAGACTGATGGCCCTGCGAGACGGTCCAGTCAGACTAATGGCTCATTATGCATGATATGTTTATTTATACAATACAATTATATCTGTATGGTGTTGGTATTTTGGGGGAAACTCACTAAGCTTCGGGCTTACAGTTGTTGATTATGTTTCAGGTACTGCTGATGATCGCGGGAAGGCGAAGGCGTGATCGTGCACCTCCTTTATATTTTCATGATTTGATTATGGGGATACTATGATGTTTAAACTATTTTGAAAACAAATTGTAATAATTTAATGGTTTTAAATGTTTTAAAAAGTTTTAAATTGGCTTGAATTTTATGGGTGTTACACACGATTAATCTCGATTTCCGCAACCATGATTTCACCGTATTCGGTCTCTTTCAACCGATATTGGGTCTATTTCACCCCATTCGGTCTCTTTCAAATGGTATTGGGTCTATTTCACCCCCTTCGGTCTCTTTCTACCGGTATTAGGTCTATTTCACCCCTACAGCTAAGCATACAATCATATCAACCAGAGTCACAAAGACAACAAACACATACAAACATAACGGTAGGTGTCACAAAGACAACCATCATACTACAAACATAATCCAGTGGGTCGACATTGGTGCCTTCGACCTACGAGTACACTGAAGGAACTCACCTAAACTATTCAACAGAACCCCAATAGCTACCTCAACAACAAAACATCCAACCCAAGCTTCCTAACGCCAAACCGAAACAAATCCTTAGCTAAATGCTCAATTCAACTAAAGTTTGACCAAAAGTCAAACGGGTCAAAAAGTCAATGGTCAGGGTCAAAGTCAAAATTGCCAATCAGCAACCCTACATGTTGTGGCCTTCCTTGGCCACATCGTGGGCTCAAAATGCTAAAATAGTTGCTAATCCCCTAGTCGTCACGTCGTGGTAGTCTAAGGCAACTCCGTGGGGACTGGTCCGAACAACTCAAACGAGCTTAATCTATTTTCTTATGATTTCAAGAGATCCAAAGCTCAGATCTGATTCGTTCCAATGTCTTAATGGATAAAGTTTCCAAATTTATCCATTAGGAATGTCTTAATGGCCATCTCACCTCTGGTTACTTATGGTTACGCATTATATGGAGGTTAGCTGGTAGCATGATTGTATGATGTGAGGGGACTAGTAGGCGGCAATGAGTTGTATGATTGATGGCTGCCTGTATTATGTGCCTACTTGATCCTTGATTGTTTATATGTCGACATATGGTAGTAGTGGGTTGAGGCGGTCATGCTTTGTGTTGTAGGCTAAGATACCCGGTGCGGGCCGACTGTAAGCCGTAGGCACTGAGGCTCTGGTAGAGCGGTTGGGTTGAGGCGGTAGGCCAACAAACCCTGGATATTCCAGCCCGATGGCTGAGTGGACCCGATGCATGCTTGTATGTTTATCGTATGGGGTATTTTGGGGGAAACTCACCGAGCTTTGTGCTTACCCAATTGTTTATTGTTTCAGGTATCATCAGTCATCATGGGAAGGCGGAGGCGTGATTGTACACATTAATCAGCAAAAATGAAGATTCTCGCGCTTTAGTATTACTCTTATTTTTATGAATGTACTTGGAATAAATGGTTTTCTCTATAACGAAGTTATAATTTGGAAGATTTACTTCAATAAAATGAAAATTTTTGGTTGTGAAAATGGGACGTTACATAATGGAAGTGTCAAGAAGAAGAAGGCCAATTGCCCATGTGTAAAAGGCAATTAGATTTTATATAACTAATTTTGGCGCCAAATACCAAGGAGAAAATGATGGCTTATTCTAAGACAGATTCTAATAGGTTATTTGTTTCCATAAGAAGAAAAAGGACCCAGCAAGCATACATGTCCAATATATCTGAAGGGAGGTATGTTACACCCCAAAACCAAGATGGCGGAAACGTCTGCGGGTGGATGACTTCATGAACAATATCACAACATAATGTACAATAGTGATCAAAGCAAACACAACCATCATAAATATAATTGAGAATGTTACATTGTTTCCAAGCATTGTATGTTTCAAAACCAATTACATTATGATGACAAAAATGAATAGTACGACGCCGTAACGTCCCATCCTCAAAAGCCTTGTGACTACCTGTTTAACGATTTTCTGAGAATACAAATAGTTTTGAAAAGTGTCAACAATTAAGTTGATGAGTTCATAAGAGTTTTGTATGGATAAAAATCTGTAAATCTCTCCTTGTAAAAATGATAGTATTTGTTCCCAGAAAATCCAATATTTTTTTAAAATGAGTTGTAGTCTTAAAACCCTAAGACCAAAAATGTGTAAATATTTCTATACTTAAAATAGTATTACGTAGTTTTATTCTTATATAAAACCATTTGAACGCATGTTACCCCGTAAACTAAATGTATCGTTGATTTCCTATGTGAGTTATTATAACCATGCTAAAACCGAAGTTGGCATGCTGCGACGTTCTTCAGGCGTCAGAATGTTAGACATTTGTCACCCCAAACCTGCCGGTCTAGCTGTAGCTAGCAGCTTAGGTGCGGGATCGTCAGTCCCGTATAGATCTATACACAAGTATCACGCTCTCTTACCGAGTTTCTGGTTATAATTCAGGACTTTAGTGTGTAATTTGGTAGGTACGATGAAGACTTTGTCTCACATAATTGTTTCAACAAGTTTACGTTTTGTGTAATGAAAACCCCTGTAAGTGTAAATATCACTTTACATAGTAATTATATACTTTTATATAATTATTCGTCTTGTCCCAAAATGTTATAATTGTGTTAACGACCCATAAACTATACCTATTATAGTTTATTATAAATGTTTCGTTGTACCTATACACACACACACAGACACACACACACACACACACACACATATATATATATATATATATATATATATATATATATATATATATATATATATATATAAGTTAACATGTTTATATTTTCATAAATAACATATATTATATATCTAACACAAGTATATGAACTATTAGTATGATAAAGTCAATTTTCTAGTTTTTGACATTTTTACGTCACCAAACGGTAAATATTGAATTATAAACTTTGTAAAATTTATTTTTACCTTTTTGTGAAGTTTAAGTCAAGCTATCCTTATATGTTTAAAACAACATATTTTAAGTCAAATCTCACAAAAATTGTACCATAACCTGGTTATGACCATTTTTGCTAGAAAATTCTAATTTTTACATAGAATGATAGATTTTTAGGTTTTCTTTTTGCAAAACCAAACCCTTGGTATTTATAACTAGTTTCATAACATATGTCCAAAATAACATATTTTGATTTATATCCCACAAAAATGGTGTAATAACTTGGTTATAACCATTTTTGCTAGAAAAGTCATAGTATGTTCATAAACCCTTCTTTTTATTATTATTATTATTATTATTATTATATATATATATATATATATATATATATATATATATATATATATAGGGAAATCTTCGGAAAAGTCATAATATTTCACCATAATTTACGAAAAAGTCCCAAACTAAAATTGGTTTATGAAAAAGTCTCGATTACCGGAAAAAATGACGATTTGACCATTTTTTCCGGTTTATCGGTTTCAATAATTATCCGGTTTCATTAAAGTCCCGTTATTTTACCATAATTTTTATTAAAGTCTCATTATTTTACCATAATTTGGGACTTATTCGTAAATTATGGTAAAATAATGAGACTTTATTAAAACCGGGTAAGTAATGAAACCGGTAAACCGGGGAAATAGGGCCAAATCGTCATTTTTACCGATAATTGAGACTTTTTCGTAAACAAATTTTAGTTCGGGACTTTTTCGTAAATTAGGGTAAAATATTGGGACTTTTCCGGAGATTTCCCTGAGCATATATATATATATATATATATATATATAGATATATATATATATATATATATATATATATATATATATATATATATATATATATATATATATATATATATATATATATATATATGGAGAATTTCGTATATGCCCTTCCTAAACACCTAAATATCGTATTTGCCCTTCCTAATGTTTTTTAATATCATATATACCCAAATCAATTATTTTGGTAATTTTTTTTATTTATAATTGTTTTTCACAATATTAAATCATTATAATTAAAATACAAATTGGATTGACAATATTACCCTTGCTAACAGATCACGTTTTCCCCCATCTATCACAAAATCACGATCGACGATCGAGCCCTGCCTGATACTTCCGATCATCGACCATTCTCTGCTTCCAATCAGTCGCAGTTGTTGGTCCTATCGATGCTTCCCTAGTTTTCGTGCAAACACATACGCATCAGGTAAATAAAATGCTAATCCATTCCTTTTCCTCAATTTTGATTTTTTTGTTGTTGTTTGATTTGTTCATGCACAAATTGAAAAAATTGTCCAACTCAAAATAAAGCTTCTGTTGCGGTTTTGAGGATTAAAAAGTCACTATATTATAAATTTTGGAAACACAAACGCATTAGGTAAATAAAATGTGAATCCATTCCCTTTCCTCAATTTGGATTCTGTTGTTGTTGTTTGATTTATTCATGCACAAATTTATAAACCTGTTGAGTAAAAGAATAATATTAGATCTTTGGAAACAAAAAATGAACCCATGTGAAATACAGTTGACTATTATCTCATAAGTGGTATTACATGAATATGAACAAAAGAGTTGCAAGTTAATTCCTAGACTTGATGTAGTTGTTGTGTAAATGTTGATGTTTGAAGTCGTGTTGTTATACCTTTATATCTTTTTTTTCTTATCGTCGACTTAAAATTATATTTTAGAGGCGATACAAACCAATGTCGGAAGATCATTCTCAAACAGAAGATATTACCCTTCATGACACATCAATACCAATATTAGAGAGCAGGGCTAAGTCTCCATTAATCGAGTATGTTTATGCGAATATCTTAATTTTAATTTAATTAAACATTTGCTAAATTGTATGATTGTTTCTCTAATTATTTTTCAATTTCAGGTGTATACCAACATCCACGTTCAAGTTAAAATTGAAATATGAGGGTTACTTTCGGCTGACGAAGAATAGTTGTAGGCAAATATATTGTTTTGGCTCTCAAAAATGTATCCACATAGACACATTTTTATACAAGTTAAGTCAACTACATGAAGAAGTGGTAAAGCGTTATTCATCAAAGAACAAACCAAAATTTTCTATTCTTTATGTTGACAAGTATGCACTAGAAAAATTCCTTATTGAGCTTGATTCTGATGAAAAGTTCATGGCTATGCTTGGCATGTATGGAAGCGAGAAACAAGTAACCATTTATGTGACAACAGAGAATAACCTTGGCACCAATAACCATACTAACCATTTGTGCGCCAATAGAGATGAACCACACGATGAGTATGATGCAGACCTTTGTCCTAGTGAAGAAAGCTATCACAGTCATCTCAGTTCTGATAATGAAGACGGTATAATGAATGATGATGATGAAGTTTACTCATTTAGTAAGAATAGTACAAGCATGGAAGTCGACTCAAAATTTGAAAATGTGGTTGACTTTAGGAGAGCTTTGAACCACTTTGCAGTCACAAATGAATTTAACTACTATATTCAGAAAAGTAACCCGACACGATTCACAGCAAGGTGTGAAAACCTAGAGTGCAAGTGGAGAATTCATGCTTCTATTACACAAGATGAAGTTACCTTTGAAGTAAGTGTATATCTTAAGTTATATTTAACATGCTTCATATTAAAAATATATTTATGTTTATTTAATTCTTTTTTTTAGGTTAAGAAAATGGTAGAAGTACATACTTGCACTCGCAGCAACAAGGGTGGCAATAAGCATGCTACACAATGATGGATTGCTAATGTAGTCACTGACAAGTTGAAATCTGATGGGGATGTCTCTCCATATGAGCTTAGAAATTGGATTATGAAAACTTAAAATGTTGATGTACCATACCTAAAAGTTTTTAGAGGGAAAGAGCAAGCTTATACTGACATGTATGGTAAGTGGGAAGACTCTTTCATGAAGATGGATGAATTTAAAGAAGAACTATTACAAAGGAACGAAGGAAGCGTTGTTGAAATTGACTTTGACATAGTTGGTGGAAAGAAACTTTTCAAAAGGTTTTTTATTTGTTTAGCATCTTGTTCCAGAGGGTTTCTTGCTGGTTGTCGTCCGTATATTGGTCTTGATGCTTGTCATTTAAAAGGAAAGTTCAATGGTGTACTAGCCGCAGCAACTGGTATTGACGGTAACAATTCTATCTTTCCAATAGCATATTGTGTGCTTGAATCAGAAAACACACAATCATGGACATGGTTTCTTGATTCACTCAAAAAGGCAATTGGAACACCAAATGGTCTTGTTATCTCATCGGACATGCAAAAAGGGTTAGAAGTAGCCATGGTGAATGTTTATCCTAATGTGGAACATAGAGAATGTATAAGACACTTATATAGCAACTTTAAGAAACACTTTCGTGGCGACTTCTTTAACACCAAACTATGGGCTGCTGCCAAAACCTACCGTTCTACCAAGCATGACAGATTGTTGAAGGAAATTAGTGATAAAAATGAAGATGCCATTGCATATCTAAATACCAACCACAAAAAAACATGGAGTAGAAGCAAGTTTGGTACTACTTCCAAGTGTGATTACATCACTAATAATATTTCAGAAACATTTAATTCTTGGATTGGTAAATTGCGCTATAAACCCGTGCTTGATCTTCTTGACGCAATTAGGGAAAAAAATTATGAAACGGTTTAATAAGAAAAGGAATTTGGTAAATACATGGAATGACGCATTGGTTCCTATTGCTAAAAACCATCTCAATGACATCGCTAAGGTAAGCATGTTAAATAATTCAGTTGAATGATTATATTTAATTTAGTTTTTACTTCAATAATACATATATATATCTAAAATATATCTATTTTTAATTTTTCATGTAGAACTTGGGTGAATATGAAGTTACTAGAAGTTGTGAGAATCAAGCTGAAGTGAAGTACAAGGGAACACGTTGGGAGGTCAACTTAGATGAAAGAAAATGTAGTTGTCGAGCGTGGCAAGTTCGGGGCCGACCATGTGTACATGCAGCGGCTTTTATTGCTTTTATAAGGGATGCTAACCGGGACAAATATGTTGATCCCTATTTCACTATAGAGAAGTTTAAAGCTGCATATGCTTTTCAAATTGCTCCGATGCCCGGACAGGATCAATGGACACAAAAAGATGGGGAGAAAATATATCCACCTATTATCAAACGCCCACCTGGACGACCAAGAAAAAACAGAATTAAATCATCAGATGAGTCTAAAAAAAGACACAAATGTCCGCGATGTGGAGAGTATGGACACCGTGAAAAGACATGTAAAAATCCAGCATCTCAAAGTTCCGATCAAAGTGAAACATCCACATCCAAAAGGTTACTCAAATTTCTTTTTTTTTTTCATTAAAAAACAACAATACTAACAGTGAAGATAATTTTTTTTATTCATTTTAGGAAACGTGGAAACAATACAAAATCGCAGGGTGGTTCAGGAGTTTCGGGGTCTATATGAAAAAAGCTTGAGAATTAGTTGGTCCTTTTAACAATTTTGTTAGCTTTAGTTGCAAATGTTCTTAATTAGGGTTCAATTAATGGATTCTTTTGTTAGTACGTGACATAAATAAATCTTTTGATATAGTTTTCTTTCATGGATTTGCATTTATTGTCAAATTGGTATATATTGTGACTTCAAGCAACCATTTCTACAATAACAAATTATGTGCAGGGACTATAACTATACTTTAAAGTATAGGGACCAAACTGTAGTAACTACAAAATTAAAGTCCATGGACCAAACTACAATATGTGTAAATTTAAAGTCCAGGGACCAAACTGTAATAACTGCAAAATTAAAGTCCAGGGACCAAACTGTAGTAACTACAAAATTAAAGTCCAGGGACCAAACTGTAATATGTGTAAATTTGAAGTCCAAGGACCAAACTGTAAAAACTGCAAATTTAAAATCTAGGGACCAAACTGTAATAACTGCAAATTTAAAAGGTATAAGGACCAAATTGTAACTAATGTAAAATTAAAAATATAGGCACCAAAATGTGCAAAATTTAAAACAAGGGTCAAACTATAATTAATGTCAAATATATACATTAAGGACCAAAATTTTAAATATTAAAGTATAGAGATAAAAAATATAGCTGTTGTAATCAAGTATTACAAATTTTTGAAAGTTCAAAATATAGCTCATGAATTCTCAAAGTACAATGCTAATTCTTGAATGTAGCCCTTCTTTTTCTATCTCTTCATTTGACGAGTAGTGGATCAATCCGTTTGGTGTAGTGAATTTGAGGGTATATTTTCTTCCGTGGTCAATCACATATTCAGGTGACATCGAAAAATAGTCTCCAAAAAGGTAATTTGATACCTGCAACAATAAGGGTCTTTAGTGAAAGCAATAAAAGCAAACTTTTGCTCCATCTTTGATAATGGTGATTATTTCTGTCTTAAATTATCTTATTCTAAATCAATTAAAGCAATGCATCATGAAGACGATAAAAAAAAGATAATAGTTCAAAAAATCCGACCTCAATGAAAGCAAGATTGACAAGGTAAGAAACTGTCAACTAGTGATCATGAGCACATTAGTGCTCACAAGACCTCCCTTTATTTCTGATGGAGCAACTTCAACAATATACATTGGAGCAGTAACAGATGCAACACCTATCCCCAATCGAACCAAAATCCTACCAAATATAATCACATATGGATTCCATGCAGCAGCCATTAGAAAAGATCCCAAAGCAAATATCACATCTGCAAGAAGAGTAGCAGCTTTTTGCCCATATTCATCATTTATTGCTCTTGCAGCTGCAGCTCCAATCATTTCTCCAACTGATGCTTCAATTTCGTCGTCACGAATGTATAGAAGAGCAGCTGATATAACTCCTGAAACATAAATTTTAGATGAGTTTCAAAGTTGCCCAAAAGTATTTTTTGATAAAAATGGTTCATTTTTTTAATATTAGCTTTTGTAATTGTATTTTACCCGGATAATCTTGACCCATTACCTAACCTGGCTCAGTTATTACATACCCTCTAAGGTTAGAAAGTAGAAACTGACCTAAACAAAAGACCTCAAAGGCCTGTGTATCCAAAATGGTTCAATTAATCAATTTATCAAGATCTTTCAGGTACCAAACAAATGCACCCAGTTGGCTGATTTCGAGCTGGAGAAAGGGGAAATATTAATCTCTTCCTTGGAATTTGATAGTCAAAGATGACAGAACTTTTGTAAAGTAACTAAGCTAGACTGCTTGTATGAACAAATCAAACAACAACAACAGAATCGAAATTGAGGAAAGGGAATGGATTAGCATTTTATTTACCTGATGCGTGTGTTTGGGTGACAACAGCGGAAGCACTGATAGAAAGCAGCGACTTATTTGAAGCAGATATTGGACGCAATGATATGCGTGTGTGTTTGTGCTACAACTGGGGAAGCAATCGATTGGACCAGCGAGTGATTGTAAGCAGAGAATGATCGCAAAGATCGGAAGTATCAGGGAGGGAAGGGTCGATCAGGCTCGATCGCGATAAGGTGTTGATTTGGGGAAAACGTGATCTGTTACCAAGTAGCAAGGGTAATATTGTCCATCCAAATTGTATTTTAATTATAATGATCTAATATTGTGAAAAACAATTATAAATAAAAAAAATTACCAAAATAATTGATTTGGGTATATATGATATTAAAAAACATTAGGAAGGTTAAATACGATATTTGTAGTTTAGGCAGGGCAAATACGATATTTAGGTGTTTAGGAAGGGCATATACGAAATTCTCCCATATATATATATATATATATATATATATATATATATATATATATATATATATATATATATATAGTTTTTTTTTCATGACGTTTTCTTAAGAACATATACCATGTTTATACTAATTTTTCATAAATTTGTATTTTAAATAACATACCACACATAAATGTTCATAATACTAGCTAATAACATTATTTCATATAGATAATATTTTTACACAACATGAAAGTAAACATGTATAACAACTTGTAAAATTATGGAAGTTTACTTGTATTCTCCCCCTAAAACTTGGATAAAGATGAAAATGAGGGGTATGAGTTTTTGGTTTTCGGGGCTATAAGTTTTTGGTTTTTGGTTTTTTTGGTAAAACTACATTTTTTTTTCTCAAATTAAAATAAAATAATTTGAATTGAAATAAATGAATAAACGAAATGAATATTGTAGAACAATAGCAATAATAACCTTGTCATTAATTTATACAATTATATGGGTAATTTGGCCTTAAATTAGACTGTTGTTAAAAGGGGACCAATAGTGTCAACATAAAGAAACTTGTGTTTGACCCGAAGATTTGACCAAATACGCATCTCAGACTAGGCTTGCTTAAGTTATGGTGGAAAAGGACCAAATGTGGACTAAATAAATAATGTGGTATGGTAATGGCTATACATGTAACGTGGACTACCAACGAAGGATGCTGACAAAAAAATGTGTTTGCCTAAAAAATAAATTTGTGTATCTCCTTTGGAAAACGCGTCATAAACGCCATTGACGTACTCAAAACGTAAATGATCTTGATGGTTTTCAATGTAGTCCACCTGACTTTGTTCAATATATGTGTAAGAATCCACCAAATATTGTTGAAAGAGACAAGAAATATTGAGTATAAGTGAGTAGATACATCGGCGTGCATGTATTTGATAACTATAATATATATTTATTACGAGACTTCTTGTCATGGAACCTATCTCATTAGATAAATTCAAACGCTTTGACCAACCATCTTCACCGAAGGGAAAAAGAAACGGATATTGTGAATGCATGTAACTTGGGTGAAGTTTACTGACTCGTTGAGGATGTCCAGACTTGGAGTACACTATAATATCATCCTTGATGCAACCGTTATCATCTCCACAAACAATGCAACCTAAACTTCCCACTGATGGTGCACCATATTTGCGATCAGGCACCTCACTGTAAAGACATACTATATACAAATCCAAATTCATCGTAATAGCTATTTCTTTAGATGTTTTGAACGTTCGCACGTAGTCAATGTGAGCTGTTAACGTTTCCATAAGAATTCGAACAATATCACCATCCAAATCCCTTGTTAGTGGGGTTATAAAAAACATTGAGTCTATTTGAAACCTCATTATCAGTATAAAAAAAATAAAGAACCAATCCAATGCGAGACTTTACTGGAAACCTTGAAACATACAAACCACCACCATTATTAAGCGTATCATCAATTTCAAACCCAAAAGATGTCATAGAAAACATAGTATTGTAGGCCCTTATATTTTGCAAAAAATGAGCATCCACGTAAAGAACAAAGATTTCAGGAGGCGGCCGAATAGGAAAAGGAAGCATACATGAACGTGACCTACAACACTAGGTGTACCTAGGATGATTATAACTGGACAAACCTATCACTCTTTCAACATACCAAAAAAAGGCACCACAGAATTCACACGCGAAGTTGCAATTGCCATAGTCATAATACGAAGGAAGAGCGTGAGCTGAAGCAGAGGAAGAATCATTGGAAGCATGTACCAACTGATGACGTTGATATTTCCGTGACATAGGTGCATTGGACACAGACGGAGATGCTCCATAATCAGTGACCTTTCGTTTGGCATGTCTAGGCATAATGTTACACCCGAGGAAGGAACATAACAAACACAAAGACAAAATCAAGAAGAAAAACACATAACATCCACAAACATCATCAACACATAACATTCACAAACATCTTGATTCCATACCACAATTGAAATCAGAATGACAGAATAAAACCCTAAATCACACAAATACAACAACATAAAAGGATAAAAGGAAGAAAAGCATAAAAGACAAAGCAGAAACCTGAAGAACAACCGACCGACGGAATATAAGAGAGGAAAAACAGTAGCAAGAACCATTAAACAAAATCGGATAAGGAAGAAACATGTGTAAAAAAGGGCATTATCGACCGACTAAAATTCAAGCTAGAAGCCGATGAACAGTAACCGACTTAGCGTATTACCATTCATAAGTCTGTTTCCAATTAATGTTATATATAATATATAATTGAAATTAAAAAACATAAAAGACAATAAAAAAGGTAAATTTCATATATGCCATTGTTAAGCTTTAAAATATCATATTTGTCCAACCTTATATCTAAATATCATATTTATCATTTTAAAATTTTAAAATATCATATTTACCAAAATCCATTTTTTTAAACATTTTAAAATCATTATTATTTATAAAAAAAAACAAATGGACTAATTGCTCTTAGATATCAAAAATGTTTTTCATATAAAATGGATGGTGTCAAGTCAAAGATTCATTGGGTGGATTGGTCCAAAATAACAACATCTAAAAAAGACGGAGGTCTTGGTGTTGGCACTTTAAAAGCTCAAAATATAGCCCTTATCACAAAATGGTTATGGAGGCTATTGAACGAAGAAAGCAATTTATGGAGGGAAGTAATTGCAAGTATTCATATATAATCTTCAAAAGAAACCAACGACTTACATTGCAAGGAAATCATCCAATGGTGTTTGGCGTAACATCCACAAAGTGATCACACACATTGATGACCTCAACCTTGACCGCAACATGATTTTCAAACTCATTCCAGGGTGTGGGGTGAATATCCTATTTTGGAAAGATACTTGGTGTGGAAATCTCCTGTTTCAGACCCGATTTCCAAACTTATATAGTATAGAAAAGGTTAAATGGCGAGCTTCCTTGTCTAGAATCCCAGTGGCTTCTGAGTTATCAAAAAGAGATGTTCAAATCCTCAATCTTACATGCCGTCTATGTAGCCAAGCACCGGAAACTGTCAATCACCTTCTGTGAGACTGTGATTTCACTAAAGGAGTTTATGAATGGGTGCTTAAATGGTGCGGGGTTAAAGCTCAGCAACTTACTTCACCTCGTGAAGTCATCAACTTCCCAGCCTCGTGGGGAAATTGTCAAAGAAAAAGAGGAATCTTCATTTCAATTTTATATTGTCTTTGGTGTAATGTCTGGACCGCAAGGAACGAGAGAATTTACAAAGATTTAAGACTTTCGTCCACAAAAGTAGCTGACAATGTTATATCTTTATCATATTTATGGTGCAAACACAGGAGCAAGGCGGGTACGCGGGTTGTGGCAGCCGGACAAAATGGTGTTGTTCTCATTTTTCTCATCTTATGAATTCTATCATGTAACTTTTTATGTTTCTGTATCGTTATGCTTACTTGTACTTAAGCCCACGTCTTAGTTGCTTGTTAACCGTGGCTGCTTGTTCTTTCTCTTTTATATATTTTTTATTGATTTTTCCGTTTCAAAAAAAATAAAATAATAATAAAATAAAACGGATGGTGAAATTGCCCATTTGTCCCCAACCTTGAATATGAGATGCAAACTTCAAACACACTTGCGCAACTAAGACTTCAAACACACTTGCGCAAACATTGAATTCCTTAATGCATGATCTTCGTTTATAAAATTTTCAAGCAAGGGTATATTCTTTATTGAGTTGATTGTCGTATCATATGAAGCAAGATTAAAATTTGTTGAACCTGGAACCTAATTAATCTCATCGTATTAATTACTATTTTTTTTGAACGGCATTAATTACTAAATAACCTAAGATTAGTTAATTCGAGTGTTTATATAAAAAACATATTTACCTAGAAATTAATAACAATCAAGAATTTATGGAGACCATAATTGCATATTTTTGAACAATGTTTATGGGAGGGAATATCATAATGATCTTCACGCCAATGTGTATTTTGCCTGTTAAGGGCAATATGGTCAACCTCTTTTTCTTTTTACGATTATAATGATTTTAAAATATAAAAATTGATTCTAAATTGTTTAAAAAATAAAGGGAAAATGATTTGCGAGAGTAATTACTTTTTTGTCTTCTTTACGTTTAATCAACTTCATTTTTTTATATACATTTGACCATTTAACTTGTTAAATGTGTTCACATATTATCATTGTCGCATGCTATATGATAATATGGGAACACATGTGTATAAAAAAAGGAAGTTGTCTAAATTTAAACAATTTTTTTTTACAAATTTCTTAAGATTTTTTATAACTTCTTACAACATTTTTATGATATTTTTTTCCTATAGGTTTTTCTAATACAATGTTTTAAACTTTGCTATAATTTTTTTAAAAACCTTTTTTATATTTTCATATAATTTTAATACAAGTGCTTTTAAACCAAATATTTTATAAATGTTTTAAATTTTTCTTACAAGTTTTTAACTTGTTTTTTTTTTATATTTTCATACAATTTTTTTTATAACTTTCATACATTTATTTCTAAACTTTCTTTTACAACATTTTTAAAATGTTTCACAGATTTTGTATGATAATTTAATATTTTCTTATACCATTTTAGAGTACTTTCGTTAAATATTAGTTTAAAACGTTGCATTAAAAAAGTTGAAAGTTTATAAACTTCTAATTAAAAAGTATTAAAAAGTTGTAATAATTTTATAAAATTTACATTATATATATTTTTTTGTTTTTTTATTTGCCAAATAATATTTTATTTTTATTTTTTTAAAAGACTTTCCATACTTTTTGTTACATATTTAATTTATTTAATTTTATTGTTAGATACTATTTACTTTAAAAATATTTTATATGCTTAAAAACAAAAGAAAAAAAAATTATAAGAGGCTATATAAAATATTTCACAAAACAAAAACATATTTATTAATGAAAAAAGAAAATTTACATTTAATTAATATTTAGGAAATTATGGATATTAAAAAAATAAAGTTTGAAAAAATAATAAAAAAACAAATATGAAAAATAAAACCGCTATTAAAAATGAGGAAAATGACTTATCAAGGTAATTAGTTTTTCGTTTTGTTCATATTTAGGCAACTTTCTTTTTTTGTATACATTTAATCATTTAACTTGTTAATTTGTTCATATATTACCATTGTCACCTGCTAATGACAATATGTGAACACATATAACAAGCTAAATCGTCAAATGCGTAGAAAAATAAAAAAATTGCTTAAATGTTAACAAAACGACAAATATGATTACCCTGGTAAGTCATTTCCCATAAATAAATTTAGGCAAATACGATATTTTAAAAATTAAGAAGGATTAAATATGATATTTTGATTTAAGGTTGAATAAATATAATATTTTAAAGTTTAATATATACGATAAATAATAAATATATATATAATATATATATATATATATATATATATATATATATATATATATATATATATAACAAATACATCAAAGCCCCGTTCAAGAAAGAAATTAAACTCACAGGACTATTTTCATACAAAAAAAAGTTAAAGAGTGAATATGTGACTTGTATAAAACACATGGACCGTTTATGTAATTTTGTCTAAAACCGTAGATATTCGTGGATTCACTTCCCCCCATTTGGGTTCTCGTCTGCTCTACTCTGATCTGCAAAATGGGCGTCTAAACCCTCACTCCCCCGCTTGCATCCGACGAAAAATCCTAAATTCCCAATCATCCCGCCAAAACTGTACCATTTTCCAATTTTCCTAACCCACCTCTTTCTCCACCGCAGAAAACCATAGTTTAGGGTTTCAGTATCATGCCAGCAATGGATTCGCCAGGCAAAATTCATCGAATCGAACTCGAGAACTTCAAATCTTACAAAGGACACCAAGTTATTGGTCCTTTCTATGACTTCACCGCGATTATTGGTCCCAACGGTTCTGGAAAGTCTAACCTCATGGACGCTATAAGCTTCGTGCTCGGTGTTCGAACCGGTCAACTCAGGGGCGCGCAGTTGAAGGACTTGATTTACGCTTTCGAAGACCGGGATAAGGAGCAAAGAGGTCGTAAAGCTTTTGTTAAGTTGGTTTATCGTCTTGGAAACGGTACAGAACTCTTGTTTACTCGTACTATTACTAGTGCTGGGGGAAGCGAGTACCGGATCGATGATAGGGTTGTGAATTGGGATGATTATAATGCGAAGTTGAAGTCTCTTGGAATTCTTGTGAAGGCTAGGAATTTTCTGGTTTTTCAGGTATCTGGTTATAAGTGTAAAATACCTGCTTATAGGTTAATTATGATACACAACAGTGTTGTTCTGCCTAACTTTGTCTGCATTGTTTGTTATTTAAGTACTGCATGATACCTATCCATTGAGGAAGTGATGAAAAACGTTAGTGAACTTACAGTTTATTAAAAGGCTTGAAATGAGCAAAAATACATGAGTTTTGCTTTCATGGTTAAAATTGGACGTTTATTATAAGGCTTTAAGGCACTCAAAGTTGCTTTCGTATTTGTTAAATGCAGGGTGATGTGGAGTCTGTTGCATCTAAAAACCCTAGAGAACTTACAGTGCTTCTTGAACAAATATCTGGCTCTGATGAAGATAAGAGATTGTATGAAGATCTGGAGGAAAAGAAAGGTGCAGCTGAGGAAAAGTCAACACTTGCTTACCAGAAAAAAAGAACCATTGTCATGGAGAGAAAGCAAAAAAAAGAGCAGAAGGAAGAGGCCGAGAAACATATGCGTTTGCAGGAGGAGTTGGTATGCATCATTGGGTTTCACTTTCACTATCCTCATACATGTATATGTGTGTGTAACTGTGTATGAATGTATGTATAGCTCATATGTTTACACGTGCTTTTTGCAGAGATCATTAAAGAAGGAACACTTCTTGTGGCAGTTATTTAACATAGAAAACGACGTTGAGAAGGCCAATCAGGAGATTGAAAATGAACAGAGTAGCCTTCAAGAAATTATTAACGAGTTAGATGGTTATGAGAACGAGTCACGCAAAAAAGAAAAGGAACAAGCTAAATATAGAAAAGAAATTGAAAAACGAGAAAAGAAGCTTGCTGAGAAGAAAAATAAAATCGATAAAAACGTGAGTTTTTTTTTTGCTTTTCCCACCAAAAATGTTTAATTGCATGTCTTTGTAATTATGCTAATACATTCTATATGTTTTAACAGCAACCAGAGCTTCTGAAGCTGAAGGAGGAAAAGACTCGCTTAACTGCAAAACTTAAAAACACTGGGAAAGAGCTTGATAAAAGGAAAGAAGAGAAGAAGAAACACACAGTTGAAATTGAAAAGCTGCGAAATGACTTGGATGACCTTACAAAGCAACTGGATAACTTACAGTCAAAAGGTCAATCTGAAGGGGGGAAGCTTCATTTAGGTGATGATCAGTTGGAGGCATATAATCGCATGTAAGTATTAAGTAACTATTCGTCTGTTATCATCAACTTAATATGAAAAAGAATGAATAATTAATTATAAAATTTGGCTTGGTGCAGTAAAGAGGAAGCAGGTATGAAGACTACCAAGTTAAGAGATGAAAAAGAGGTTCAAGATAGGGAACAACATGCTGATGTGGAAGCTCAAAAGAATCTTGAAGAGAATCTACAACAGTTGGAAAGCAGGAAACAAGAACTTGAGTCACAACAGAAACAAATGGAAACTAGACTCAAGAAGATTAGAGAAGCCATTGACAAACATAATGATGAACTCAAACGACTCAGAAAGGAACAAACTGACACCACCAAGAAACTTGGAGATTCAAAGAAGAAATATGAAAATCTGAAGGCTAAGATAACTGAATTAGAGAATCAATTACGTGAGTTAAAAGCAGACAAACATGAAAATGATAGGGACACAAAGCTGTCACAAGCAGTTGAAGCTCTCAGGCGGTTGTTTCCTGGTGTTCATGGTCGTATGACAGAGCTTTGTAGGCCCACACAGAAGAAGTATAATCTTGCTGTTACTGTTGCTATGGGCAGATTTATGGATGCTGTTGTTGTTGATAACGAGCATACAGGAAAAGAATGCATCAAGGTAAAATGCGTTATTATTATTTGGGCAAAGTGCAGGAAATAGCAACCTACTTTACTCTTTTTTACCAATATAGACAATATAACTTACTCTTTTTACCCATAGTAGCAATGTTATTACATGTTTTTTACCTTTAACAGCAGCGTACTTACATTTTTTTTACAACTGATAATAGCAATTTGTAAACTCATAACAGCAATGTACTTGCATTCTCTCAGCCTAATAGCAACATACTTACATTACTGTTGGGGTTAAAAGAATATAAGTTATCACTAAAAAATAAAGTACATTGCTCATATAGGTAACAAAAAAAAAGTATGTTGTTTTTTCTGCAATTTGCCCTTATTATTTGACCATGCCTTTTGTAAGGTACCCACTATGGTTGGTGAATATAAAATCGTGATGCATCTCTGTATTCACTTGTTTTCTGCAGTATTTGAAAGACCAAAGGCTTCCTCCTATGACATTTATACCCCTTCACTCAGTCCGTGTTAAGCCAGTCATTGAGAAGCTGCGGGCATTAGGCGGAACTGCAAGGCTTATCTTTGATGTGATTCAATATCCTTCAGCATAACCTTTTAGAGTTTTAATTATATATCTTCTTTCTTTAGTCATTATTATTTGTTGGGAAATTGCAGGAAATAGCAATGTAGTTTCTCTTATTTACTGATATAGGCAGTATAATTTAATTTTTACAGGTTAAAAGGTCCTCTAATACATAAAAAATGAAAGTAATGGGGAAAATTAAAGTATATTGCTTATATCTGTAAAAAGGCAAAGTATGTATCTATTCTTGCAATTTACCCTTATTTGTTTATTGTGGCATTTGTGTAAGCTTGTTCACTTAACAATCAAACATTTGATCAAGTAATCGATAAAGCAATTCTCTTTGCTGTGGGAAACACTTTAGTCTGTGATGATCTTGATGAGGCCAAGCATCTGAGTTGGACTGGAGAGAGATATAAAGGTAAAACTTTTACATATTTTCTCATTGATTTGAATGCTAATATTGAACTTATATTATTTTTAATGTTTGTTGTAGTTGTAACTGTTGATGGTATTTTATTAACAAAGGCTGGTACCATGACTGGTGGTACAAGTGGTGGAATGGAAGCAAGGTCACATAAATGGGATGATAAGAAGATAGAAGGTTTGTGAATTAAAATTAACTATTAATTCTTGATCTTTTTGTAGTAATACTTACATATGTCACTAATTTTCAGGTCTTAAAAAGAAAAAAGATGGGTTTGAAGCAGAGTTACAAGAACTTGGGTCAATAAGAGAGATGCAACTGAAGGAGTCTGAAGCATCTGGGAAGATCAGTGGGCTTGAAAAGAAGATTCAGTATGCAGAGATTGAAAAGGTATTTTACAGACTTACACTCATATGTCAGTTTTTTTTTTTTGTTGAAATATATATGGTATAAAGTTTTGTTTTTCTATTGCAGAAAAATACGGAGGAGAAACTTGCAAAACTGACTGCAGAATACAGTAATATTAAAAATGAAATTGGTTATATTGAGCCTGAACTTAATAAGGTACCATTGCACCAAAGTTTATAATGCGTAGTTCACTATACAATATGCATGATGCTGATGGAAGGGTATTACTGTAATATTGCAGATAAGGGAGAACATAACTTCAAGACGACGCAAGATTTTATCACTTGAAAAGAGGATCAATGAGATTGTTGATAAAATTTATAAAAGATTTAGTGAATCTGTTGGGGTGGATAATATACGTGAGTATGAAGAAAACCTGCTTGCTGCAGCCCAGGAGCTGGCTGAAGAAAGACTTAGCTTGCGTAATCAGCAGTCAAAACTCAAATACCAGTAAGTTTTGATTACCCTGTAACATGTTGTAGCTCATAAACTCATAATATGCTGATTGCTATCTGATTGCATGATAAATTTATGCATCATTTTTTGGGTTAGTTCCAAGAAAGCCCTTACATTTTGACCCCTTGATTTTTTTTTAAAACCTGTAACTATGAGGAAACCTGTTGTTGTAGCCCATTGAAAGAGTTATTTTGTTTTTCTTTTTGACATGGAAAATTTTGATGACATGCCAAGTTGATTGGACAATTTTTAATATATTTGAGAAGCTGATTGTATATATGTAAATTAATATTGTTAACTAACTCCTCTTCATGTTCATCAATCTGCTCTCCTTCACAAATCAAAACATCATTCCTTCATATTTTGTGGTTCCTCTTCATTGCAATGTACTGATGAAATGAGAATAAAAAAATACATAATTTTAACATCTACAGTCAGGCTTTAAAAAATATAAAGAATTTTCATGTCAAAATAGAAAAACAAAAAACCATCTTTTTCAAAAAAAATGTCAGTTTCCTTGGAGTTAACGGGTTTAAATGAAAAAAAAACTTTGCTTATTATTCAAAAAACAGGTAAATATGTAAGGGATTTCTTGGCATTCATATTTTTTACTTCAAAAAGTATGTTGCTAACTTAAAAGTGATGTCTTGCCAAACTTTCTGTTAGCTGAAAGTTTTGAACTAAAAAGAAAAAATAATGATCATTAAATACTTATAAAATTGTCAGGTTGGAGTATGAGAAAAAGAGAGACATGGGAGCACGGATTGCGAAGCTGGAATCATCACAGACTGAACTAAAAAATTCATTGGTTGAAGTTGATGAGAGAGAGAAAGAACTTAAATCAATGATAGAGAAAGCTACTGAAGAGATTGATGTATTGAAAGAAGAAATACAGGGTATGTCCCATTTTCTTCCAAAAATGCCATTTTTATAAAATCATAAAACCCATAACAATTATTATTTTTCTTAGAGTGGAAGTCACAGTCAGAAGCATGTGAGAAAGAGATGAAAGAATGGAAAGTAAAAATCTCTGCTGCTACAACATACATAACAAAGCATAAAAATAAAATTGATTCCAAGGTCGGTATTATTTAAACTTTAAAGGAAAATGTAAAAGTTTGATTTCTTATCTTTTTTTACCTGGAAAATTATTTATTATTTGCAGGAGAATCAACTTGAACAATTAAGTTCAAAAAAACAAGATATTGTTGAGAAATGTGAATTAGAGCAGATCACACTCCCGACCGTGGCTGATGCGATGGATGTTGACTCAGAAACGGGCCCGGTTTATGATTTCAGCCAACTCAGCAGGCCACATCAGCACAACGCAAAACCTGCGGAAAGGGAAAAGCTGGAGGCAGAATTTAAACAGAAAATCGGAAGCATAGTATCAGAAATTGACAGAACTGCCCCTAACTTAAAAGCCCTAGATCAATACGCTGCTTTACAGGAGAAAGAAAAAGCAGCAAGCAAAGAGTTTGATGAGGCCAGAGAAGAAGAGAAGCTAGCAGGCAGAGAGTTTGAAACCGTGAGGACCCGGAGGTAGACATAGTCTTCACTCTTTTGAGTTTAATATTTATAATTTATTTATGTTGACAAGATTAACATTTACAGGCTTACGCGATTTATGGAGGCGTTTAACCATATTTCTGGAAATATTGACAAAATCTATAAGCAACTGACGAAAAGCAGCACACATCCTCTTGGTGGGACCGCATATTTAAATTTGGATAATGAAGACGAACCGTTTTTACATGGTATAAAGTACACTGCTATGCCGCCTACAAAGCGTTTCCGTGATATGGAGCAGTTATCAGGTGGTGAAAAGACTGTTGCGGCCCTGGCTTTGCTTTTCTCCATCCACAGGTAAGGAAGGGTATATATATATATTATATGTCATTTATTTTTTTTGTAATATTTGGTGATGTATTTATTATTCCAGTTACAAGCCGTCACCCTTCTTTATACTGGACGAGGTGGATGCAGCACTGGATAATTTAAATGTTGCCAAGGTTGCTGGGTTTATCAGATCAAAGTCATGCGAAGGAGAAAGGGCAGCAAATCAGGAAACTCTGGAGGGGAATGGTTTCCAGAGTATTGTCATTTCTCTTAAAGATACTTTTTATGACAAGGCTGAAGCTCTGGTTGGGGTTTATAGGGATTCCGAAAGAGCGTAAGTTTTCCTCCCCTTCCAAAAAAATAATAATAATATTAAATGTAACGCAGGGGTAAAGTAAAATGGTCATTTCATAATCTTTTAATTATATATTGTTTTTGCTCTGCAGATGCTCAAGAACTTTGACATTTGACCTAACCAAATACCGGGAGGCATGATAAAGATCAGTAGATGATGAAAAAATGGCAAAAACTTTTTTAAGCAATAGATTTAGTTAAAGCTTGTGTTTATTTGTGAGTAGCTTTCCATGTTGATTTTTATTGTTGGTTATAACTTTAAAGACAACAAACAGTAAAACTAAACTAGACGATTGTTATTATGTAATGTGCACATAACATATCCACGAGTGTAAGTTTTTATGCACCTTGTAGAATGTGTTGTTGAAAGCCCACGGCATTTTCTGGCAAAAGACCCAAAGGTTCTACAAATACTTATACACGATAAAACACCATCCATTTCCAAATTACAATCATTCATTTCGTTCCAGAAAAAAGAATTTTGTGCTGTCAAGAAATATACCCAACATTTTTTTATCGACATCAAAGGATTCTCCAATATTGTTTTTATTGTAAATTAAAAAAATCGTGTTAATTTGATAGACTGAAATGTAGTCGCTTTTATCTAAAAGCAAATAGCTAATCCAGGTGATATAGTTTGTCTAAAAAAAATTCTTTTTTTAGAAAAAGAATTTGCGTAGCTAAATAAAACCATCCAATAAATTAGTGACCATGAAATAATTAGAAAAAAAAAGCGAAAATTAATATTGCTCACAGATGCATAGAGGCCCCACTAGTCACTACCACAACCTTGACGTTCGAGTTTCCGGCCACCGGTGCACTGCCGGAGCTCGAAATCCACAACAATGGACGACGACAAAGATCCTCATTCACCAATCGAAACCTTCCACGATTCCATTGACGGGGAACCTAAGCAAAAAAAACCTGAAAGTTCGATTGCTGCAGAGTTGAAGACGAAGAAAAGAAAAGCTTTAATCGAGCTCCGTTCTCGTCTCGAAGATTCCATACTCAATTACACCCTCATCGGAGAAAAATACAAAGCGAGCGAGCATCTTAGAGAATTACAGATCTGGGGTGTCCCTTTGTTACCCAGTCGAGGCCTCGAGAGAACCGACATCATTCTCAAAAAATTCTTGAAAGCCAAAGATTATAACGTCCAAAACGCTTTTGAAATGATAGCAAACACGATTATATGGAGGGAAGATTTTAATGTAGATAAGCTGTTCGAGGAAACGTTTGGCCCAGATCTTGACAATATTGGGCACATTCAGGGCAGAGATAAAGCAGGTCGCCCATTGTGTTACCAATTGTTCGAAACATTTAAAGATAAAGACACTTTACGTAAGAGATTAGGAACCAAGGAATCATGCAATGAATTCCTTCGTTGGCGAATTAAACTAATGGAAGGATGCGTTCTTAAACTCGACTTCAAACCCGGTGGTGCAGATTCTGTCATCCAAATTATGGATGTCAAGAACATACCCAGACCATTTCTGAACGAACTGTTTGCAGGTAGCAAGAAATATTTTTCCATTTTGCAAGAAAATTATCCAGGGATCATTTACAGAATTGTAAGTTTCCGTAATGTTTTTAAGTCAAATAATTGATGAAAAATCGAAAGTTTATATATCTTTTTAAACAAAATGTAGGTGATTGTTAATGTCCCGATGTGGTTTTTCGCCTTCTATACGCTAAATATGCGATTAATGACAAGAAAGTACAAAGTAATGTACGTGAAGCCATCGGCAATCACTGAGACCCTTCTCAAGTTAGTTTTCAAACCATCACTGTGATTTAACATCTAATACAGATACTGACACTAAAATGACTTCTAGGTTTAAAGGGTAAGTTTTTGAAAGGGTTTTGAAAATGTCATATCAAATTATGTGTAATGATAAATCCTATGAGTGATGATTGAGTTTTTGAAATTTAAATATCATTTTTTTCTTTATTTAAAAAAAAACCAAAAAGTAATGGTTGGTTTAATGTGTTGAAGATTTATAGATCCGGAACATCTCATGGCTCCATACGGCGGTCTAGGAATAAAAGGCGGCGAATTCTCGCCGGACGAAAAAGCGATAGAGCAGAAGCTCAAAGGATATGCAACCGATAGCATCGAGATACCTACTGCAGAGGTTTGTTTCAGCTTTTTACGATATCACTGTATCAGTACTATCACTGTATCAGTACTAATAACAGTAACAGTGAGTGCGGGATAAAATATTTGTGTTTTTGGTGAATTTTGATTACAGGTCGGGATGACCGTGTATTGGGATTTAACGGTAACGGGAAATGATGTGAGTTACAAGGAAGAATTTGTGCCAGAAGACGAAGGTTCATATAGTGTGTTGGTTTCAAAAGGAATACAAATAGGGAGAATGACTTCAAATTCATTTCATGTAAGTGAGCCTGGCAAAATTCTTATTACATTAGCCAATCCTTCTTCCAAAAATAGAAAGATTTTTTATAGGTACAAAATTAAACCCTTTGTACCCATGCACAATTTACCAATTACAAATTAGAGTTTTTATTTATTTATTTATTAATCCTATTTGAATATAAGTTTAGTTTATTTTGATCGTATTTGTACTAAAATGTTCTCGTTAAGGAAACGGGTATAAACGAGCTTGAATTTGTATTAAAAAGTAGTCCATTTTGATTTGTATATCAGTCTTAAGTCTTAACACATCAAATTTGCCTATTTTACCACATAAATATAGTTGCATATATTTTGTTCCAACTTCAGCAGCATTTTTGTGTAATATACATAATTATAAAAACAATAGCAACTTAATGTCTATTTACTTTTTAGTATACTTCAGAAGGAAGAAAATGAATCAACTTCCATTTAATATTTCTATTTACCATTTTTATATTTTTCACCAAATCAGTATTCTTTCATCTAAGCTTTTAACTGTGCACTTTCACTGTTAGTAACAAGAAATCAAGATACTCACCAAGCAGTAGAATTCAAGTTTGAGTTTTGTTGATTCAAGTACAGTGTATCTAAATTCTAAATTGTTTAATATAATAATACAACTAATTGCTTTTAACCTAATTGGATATGTATAAATAAAAAAATTTTCTGTTATATGATGATGCTTTTGGCAAAAAGGCATGCAATATGATAGCCAAATGATTATTTCTATTTTTAGCAATTCACATGATGTGTTGAATCTTGGGAATGCTTTTGATTTAATTCATTAAAAAAAGTCCATATGTTAGTTACAGAATTCAATAAAGTATTATTTTCATTTTCTAGAAAATGCAAAAGATTTTCCAACCTTACATCTCTCTCTCTCTCTCTCTCTCTCTCTCTCTCTCTCTCTCTCTCTCTCTCTCTCTCTCTCTCTCTCTCATATAATCAAATTAACTCGTATCTATGAATGTGTAACAAGATCATGGTAATTAAATTAATAAATGAATAGTCAAATTGTCAATTGTATAATTAAACTAAAAAGATGAATAGTCAGAATTGTCGATTGTAATTAAAAGTTGAAAGAAAACAAAATGAATAAGTTTTCTAGAAAACTATTGGTAAGGATAAAATGGATATTTTAGGTGAATCAAGTTAGAAAGACAACATATATTTTGGGATACACGATTTTGTGAGCAGATATTTTGGGATACATGATTTTCCTTAGTGGGTTTTAATTCCACAATTAACGGCCTTTAATTTCATAAAAAAGTATTTTTTTATTTGGATTCTTCAAAAGCGAAATTAAAAGGTTACATACGGAAGTTGTAATTCGATTGGCAAGCCAAAATAGAATGTAAAATCCACTTACCATAGTGTTAGGAGACACCATAGACATTCTTCTAGGCTTATCTTCAATCCAAGATGTTATGATTCGAATGGTAAACCACAATTACATAGTTGTCACACCCCCAAACCAAGAATGGTGGAAACGTCCAGGGGTGGAGGACTTCATGTATAGTATCATAACAACAATTGCAATAGTGATCAAAGTAAACACAACCAACATAAATATAATTAAAAAAGTTACACCATAGTATAAGTTTACATGTTTCCAAATCAATTACATTATGTTGACAAAAATGAAATGTTTGACGCCTTAACGTCCCATCCTCAAAAGCGCTTGTTTACCTGTTTATTTATTTCCTGAGAATACAAGTAGTTTGAAAGAGTGTCAACAATTAAGTTGGTGAGTTCATAAACTTTTGAATGTAGTGATGAAAACCTTTCCTTTTTAAAAGTAATGTTTGTTCCAGAAAAATCCAATATTTTCCCTAAAGTGTGAATTGCAGCCTTAGATCCAAAGACCAAAATGTACAAGTAATTTCCATACTTATAGTAAAACAATGCAAATTTAAATTGACATAAACTCGTTTGATTTAATGAAATCCCCGTAAATCGTATGAGTTGTTAATACTTTATATGAGTTATTATAACCATGCTATGACCTAGATGGCCTGAAACGACGTTCTTCAGGCGTCGGAAATGTTATGACATTTGTCACCCGTAGACCTCGAGGTCCTACTGTAGCTAACATCAAGGTGTGGGGTGTCAATCCCAATATAGATCTATACACAACTATCACGCTCTCCCTCAAAGAGACTCTGGTTACAATACATGACTTATAGTGCATTACTTGAAAAGTAACATGAAGCGAATGTCTCACAATTTAGTCATTAACAGATTTATGTGTAGTGAATGAAAACCCTTTTTGTGTAAATGAAACCTCTGGTAGTGAACTTGTTGTGTAAGTGCATCATAAACTATATCTATTATAGTTTATCAAGTAATGGTAGTAGTAGTGAATATAAACTATACTTACAATAGTTTATCAAAATGTTTGTATGCAATGGATATAAACTTTGTTTATTATAATTAATTACCATACTTGTGGAGGTAAAAATCCATTTGTTTTCTGATGTATGTCTATTTACCAAGACAAAATGACATATAATATAACACATATATGCACATAATGATACACACCTTGTTCAACAAGTTACAAGGTGTAAATGAAATTGATAACATTTTTCTAGTGTTAACATTTCTTTTCCTGTTCTTAGAAGATTTATAGAAAAATCATCAAAGGTCCAAATGCGAATCCGTAATTTCTGAGTGTTTGGAAAATGTGTCTAGTTTGTTCATAAATTTTATTATGATTTTTAGTGACTTCCCACTTGTGTGAAAAAGTCCATATTCACAGACTGGTCCGGATTTGTTCTTGAAATGATAGGCAGTTTTGTAAAAATCACCATAAATTGTAGAAAAATCGTATGGAGATGTGCAAGTAGTCATTTTAAACGTATGAACCTGAACTATTTGCACCTAATACAGTTTTGAAAACTAAAGTGTTTAAGTTGACCAAACAGTCCGTGAATGGAGTTAAACTTTTCTGATGAAAGCTGTTGGATGAGTTTAGTTGTGTTCTTGGTGTTTTAACTTGTATTCCCCCCCTTAAAACTTAAGAAAAACGTGAAAAGATAGGGGTATGAACTCACCTTGTTTGGTTTCAGAAGATGGATGATGAAGAAAGGAAGTGTTCAACTCAAGAACACTTTAGAAGATGCTTGAAGATTCGAAGATCTAACACAAATATAACGATGTTTGTGTAAGATATCCATCATTTAAGTAGAAAGAAGGAGAAATAATCATGTGAGGAGTGATATTACTTACTAGGAGTAGATGAAGAACTTGTAATCAACCTTGAAATTTCGAGATTAAAGAGGGATAGTGAGAGAGAATGAGTTTTTGCTTCTTGGAGGAGTGTGAGTGAAATGGGAGGAGAGATAAGGATTTTTCTATCCTTGAATCAAAGTGTTTGGCTGAAAAGAGTGGGAAAAGGACGATGGAATGACCAGGTATGATGGAATAGTGACTGGGGATGGTCATGGAGTGGATGTAGAGGGTTGCTTGTGTCATAACTCAAAGGTAAAGTCAACACTCCACCTAAATATCTCACACACTAGATTTTAATCTTGGATAAAGATTATCCTCAAAATGTGATTAAAATATGAATATTTAGGGTTTTATATGTCAAAATATAAGTTTGGGTGAAAATCCCACGTTAAAATAATGAAAAACGGGTTTAAAACGAATATTGGGTAAAAAACCAGGAAGAAAATGGAAAATCCGAAGTCAGGGGCGAGGTTCGGTCTTAGAAGCATTAGAACCGAAGGTAGGGTTCGGTTGGTGTATTGGAACCGAGAGTGAGGGGTTTCGGTCCGAGCAGGTCTCGCAGGCGCGTTCATCAGAAGGGACCGAAGGTGAAGCTGGCTAGTGGTTCGGTCCGAAGGGACCTTCGGTCTTCCGAGGTTCGGTTCTAATAGGAGCTTCGGCTTTAAGAGGGTTTCGCTCCTATAAGAGGGTTCGACCCTTAAGCTAGGTTCGGCTCCTTAAGACTGTTTTTCGCGCAAACTTCCGTTTTCGAGCTGTTTTTGACTAATTCAAGGGTCGGGATGCCCCGAGTGATTATAAAAAGTTAAGAGAGATTTTGAGAGAGATTTGGGAGAGATTTCACATACTTGGAGAGATTTGGGAGAGATTTCACATACTTGGAGAGATTTCTCATACTTAAAGAGATTTGGGAGAGATTTGACATACTTGGAGAGATTTGGGAGAGATTTCACATACTTGGAGAGATTGGGGAGAGATTTCACATACTTGGAGAGATTTGGGAGAGATTTCACATACTTGGAGAGATTTCTCATACTTAGAGAGATTTGGGGGAGATTTGACATACTTGGAGAGATTTGGGAGAGATTTCACATACTTGGAGAGATTTGGGAGAGATTTCACATACTTGGAGAGATTTGGGAGAGATTTCACATACTTGGAGAGATTTGGGAGAGATTTGAGATAGGGAGAGATAGAGTGAAAGAGATTGGGAGAGACTTCTTTTGTGACCTTTTTGAGTGTTTGGCTTTGTAACGCAAGGTCCGTAAACCCTGTTAAGCCATGTTTAAGAGTCTTACACACCCCCGAAGGGTATGTAATAGTGTTTTATCGCTTTGCTACATCACTTACCTCGATTAGGGTTCAAGAATCCTACACATACGAACTTTCCAAGTGATGGCTTCTCATTAAAATAGCGAGTTGTACAATAATTACATAACGTAAACCCTAGTATACAAGGGTTAGTAGAGTTGACCGGTTTGACTTGTTGAGTTTATTTGACTTTGACTTGACCAGAATTTGACGGTTGTCACAATAGTTGAAGAAACGTAGAATAAGAAGACATTGCTGGAATCTTTATTCTTTCAATTTGAAGGCACAAGACATGCATGTTAGATGACTTATACACCAAATATAAGTCAATAATTACGTATTGGATTCATATTAGCCATATAGGGAAGGTCCCAAGTCCTCAAGGCTTTAATCAAGGATGTCCAGGAGAAGGGCTGTGACGTGGTTAAGTGTCTTAGCATTTCTCCATAGTCGAGCACTCGCGCCTACTTCCTCACAACCCTATCTTCGACTGCCTCACAACCCTATCGTAACCACATAGATGTGAAATCAACATTTACCTACAATACTATGTCGTAATGATAATTTTTCGATAGTTGACGAGAATCTAATGATAAACCATATTCAAAAATACTTTAGTGACTAAATATATAGATGTGATATTTTTAGTCTTTTAACCCATTGTCATTTTCATGATCATCCCAATTTTTGATCTATAAAATTGTAAATATGATATTCTACGGGTTAATATATTCCAACTTTTAAAATTTGAAATTATTAACAAATCAATATGAAACATAACTAATCTTTTCTTAAACTAAGAAATTGAAATCGTCACAACAATGTATATGGATAGATATGAAATCTAAAAGTTAGGGATGACCTTTTAATAAACACCACTCACACTCTGTCATGTATCATATGCAACTACTTTCCCTACACCTTTTTGCATTTATTATTTGTCTCTATCATACGCTCCAACCAAACACCTTTTCATCGATTATTTTATAATCCAAAAATAATGCCCACTGAATCATGTGCATGTATCTAGGCCTTGTATATTATTTAATTTAATTCTAATACGATCATGACATTTATGGATGGTGTTTTATTACACGATAAAGAAGTAAAAATTATTTATATAAAAATAAATTATTTTTCGTTTTATTTTATTTTCAAGATATAAATCAAAATTTTTT